GTTGAATGAATAAATGAATGCATGTATGAGAATGGATGAATGAATAAATGAATGAATGTACCAATGCATGTATGAGAATGGATGAATGAATGATCACGCAATGGAAAAGAAAAGTGGGGATTGGTAAAGTTACCTCGATGGCTCGAGTGACGGGTTTGGGGAGCTCTTACCAGATATGTCCGTGTGGGGTCCGGGTCCGATGTTCATGATGGAGCCGGTGCAACCTGCATGGGGTATCCCACTACTCCCTGTCCGTCTCTCGGCAGCGGCCCGAGCCATGCGATCAATTTGGGCGACCTGCCGGCCTCTCCTCGATGGAGATTCCGCAGGTGGGCCCCTCCAAACCCTTCCTGAGAAGGTGGAGGCTAAAGCTTGGGGTGTGGGAAAAACTCTGATCACGCTAGTGAGCAAAGACGCCATAGCTGTCGGGCTCGCAGTCCGACCAGCTTTACTCAGTGCTTGTCTTCGCACACCTTGCCTCCAGTTTTTTAATGTGAGGAGGGGTTGGACAAAGAGAATGTCCACTGAATAGACACTGTTGCTAGCCCCCGAGCGATGCTCGACCCCCCGCCATTGCTAGGGGTCGGAGGCTCGGTAGCGAAATTAATGCGCGTAAAGTAAGGGTGACCCGTCTCTCGGCAGCGGCTTCGAGCCATTCGATCGACTTGGGCATAGGATTTACCTTGATGGTACAAGAGATGGGTTCGAGGAGCTCTTACCGGATATGATCCAGTGGAATCTGGGTTCATCGTTCATGACGGAGTCAACATAACCCGCGTGGGGCATCCTTCTGCCCCCTGCCCATTTCCCGGCGGCCAAGTCGTCCGATCGATTTGTGTTACCCGCTGGGACGAGATTTACCTGCGGAGATATGGGATGAAAACATCCCACCCAAAAACTTGGGTAGGCAGATAAGCCAAGTGGCGAACTTGTAATAAATGGACAAGCTCTTAAATTTTGTTATAGCAAATAGCTTTTTAGCCCTTCTCCCCTTTTTGAATAAAAAGGTTAGTGCGTTCCGACCCTTTCCGTCATTAAGTTCGCAAAGCTCGGGGTGCGGGTGAGCAAAGGTGCCGTAGCCACCAAGGCGTAGGTCTCTCGTAGTCCGACCAGTTATACTTAGAGTTTGTTCCCGCAATCCTAGCTCCTAGTTCTTAATGTGAAAGGGGGTCGAGCACAGAGAATGTTTGTTAGGCGGACAAACTCTTAAATGCGTACCGACTTTTTTCGTGGCTAAGGCCAAAAAGGCCGTGGTGTGGAAAAAAACTCTGATTATGCTGGTGAGCAAAGACGCCGTAGCCGCCGAGGCATAGGTTTCTCGCAGTCCGACCAGTTTTACTCAATGTTTGTTTCCGCAAACTTCGCTTTTGGGTCTTAATCGTGAAAAAGGTAGGACGTAGAGATTGTCTACCGGATAGATATGCTCTTATTAGCCCCCTAGTGAGGCCTGACCCCCCGCCGTTGCTGGGGTCAGGTGTCACTAAAGGTCGGGGAATTTGATAGCAAAACTGATAAGAGAAAGTGGGCTTTTATTAAGGGTAAAAGCGACGTAGCTGCTCGATGTTCCAGGCATTGGCAATGACCTCGCCGTCGATGGTCTTGTGCTTGTCGGTGCCTGGTCGGAGCACCCCCACGATGATGTACAGTCCCTTCCTCGACGGAGAGAGCTTCTGGCGAAGCAGTGCATTAGATCCTTCGACGTTGAAGGCCCGACCCCGCTCCCGACGGCTGTGGTACCGGCGTAATGCCTACTAGTACTTGGCTAGGCAGAGGAGGGCGGCGTTGCACGCTTCATCTAGCTGGGCTCCTTCCTATGCTCCTACTTGTCGAAGCCTCCGGACAAGAACCGCCTCAAGAGGTCGTAGTCCTTGTATAGGTGCTCGACGGGAAAGGAATGGTTCGGGCATGGCCATTCGAGCAGCTTCTCAAAGTGGTCTGGGGTACCCTCCGTGGGCCTCTAGCCCCCCTTGCGGTCGGCGGCGGCCACGAGTGAGCCCCCGCGCCGCTGCTTGTTCTTCTTCTAGATGGGACGGTTGGAGGTGCCTTCGTCGGCATCCTCGTCCTGTTTTGCCTTGCCTTTGAGGCGGCCAAAGACCAGAGATCCTAGCGAGTCGGGGCTTGGGCTTTGGTCCTCGCCGCTGTCGTAGCGTCCGCCATGATGTGGATGTTAGCCACGACTAGCCCCCTCCCTTGCGCCACCGTAGGTACGCCTACGGGCGTCGAGGGCGTCGCGTGCGTCGTGGTGGAGGCCGAGATGCTCATGCACCGGAACCACGGTGCGCGGCCTGTCGCCTCGCTGTGCCTGGTGGACCGACACGTCCCTGTCGGGCTACTTTGTGGGCGCGTTACGCCTACGGGTGTCAAGGGTGTCGCATGTGTCATGGTGGGGACCGAGACGCTCATGCACCGGAACCATGATGCGCGGCCTAAACGGAAGCGCTGTCGGGGCGCTCTTGTTGAGGTATTCACGAAAGAGCGGCTATCCCCCTACAAGCTGCACCACGACGTTGGCGAACGAGAAGGTGAGGTGGCGCAGGTCCTCCTAGGACGGTCGGGGTCCCAGGAGGGCGCCGAGCTGGTGCCCTGACCTCCCGTAGTCGAAGCTGAGGAGCTGGTTGCTCCCAGGGGCGCGGACCTCCGGTGCAGGCAGCTGCAGCTCCTCGAGCGCCTTGGCAATCATGTCAAGGCCGGTGAAGAGGAGAGGTTGTGCGGCTACTGAAGGCCACACCAACTCTCCCTCCGTCATGATGACGAAGTCCGGGTTCCTAAAGTGCACGTGCGCGCTCGGGACCCAGCTGACGTTGCGATTAACCATCCAAGACCTAGTGTGGATGTTGAGACGCGCAAAAGGTCCCTACCTAGCGTGCCAACTGTCGGTGTTTCGAGTTGCCACCAACGAGTAAATTTGTATTATTGCGCGTCTGGGCCGGATGGTATGTTAAGAGGACACAAGGTTTATACTGGTTTGGGCGGAATGTCCCTACGTCCAGTTCGTTGCTGTTGCTCGTGTTACTAGCACTGAAAGTTCATAGTAGGGGTTACAAACGGTCGAGAGAGGGACTGGTCCTAAGTCTCTGATGGTGTGTTGCGTTGAGCTTCGATTCGAGTTTGAGTCGAGTCGAGTTCGGATGTAGTTCGGATGCGGATGTGTTCGATTGTTGGTCCGATGGATTTGAGTCGAGTCCGATGTCCCCTAATGGGACGCCCTGCTTTCCCTTTTCTAGGCCAAGGGAAAGCAGGGGTTACAGCCGAGGAAAAAGGGGAGAATGAGAGGAAGAAATCCTTCAGGATCGCTAGGTCCTTCTCCTTTATGTGGGTCCCGCCGACCCTGTAGACGTCAACAAGGAGTCAGGGACAAGTTCTCATCGCGGCCCTGTCTGTCACTGGCGCCATGTGCAGGCGTCGTCCGCCGGTCATGGCACTCCACTCCGTCCTGACGGACATCATGGTGAACTGACGCGCCCGTCAGTATTTGTACGGGGGTTAGGTAGAACAGCACCGGTACGCCCGGCTCTGTTCCTGACGTGAACCCTCAGGTATGACCCGTCGTGGGTCGTGGGCTACATTGAGGCATGCTAGTCACTTCCCTGGCGTCAGAGCTTTGACACAGGCTCATACGCTTGGACCTGGAGTGGTTGGCAGTGGTATGGGTCTTCGTCGGGCGAGACGGAGCCTCCGGCGTCGGGGTCGGGCGAGGCGGAGCCAGCCCTCGGAGGTTGGACGAGGCGGAGCCCTGCCCCCAGAGGTCGGGCGAGGCGAAGCCAGCCCTCAGGGGTTGTGCGAGGCAGAGCCTGCGGCCTTGGGGTCAGGCGAGGCGAAGTCCTCCCCCAGAGGCCGAGCAAGGTGGAGCGCAGACCCAAGGGTCAGGCGAGGCGGAGCTTGCGTACCTGGGGGTCGGCAAGAGCTATAGTCGCGCTCTTGACCGCTCGGATGAATCAACGTTGATGGTTATTAGCTCCTTCTCTTCGGGTACCCTAGTATTGGTGCCCAACACCTGACTTACAGTTCCTTCGGTCAGGCACGTGAAGGGGATGATGTTGAATGCTCCCCGGATTTGGACTGAGCCTTTACTTAAGAAAAATCATGGTGAGGTAAAAAGAAAACATGAAACAACCTGTAAAGTTGCTATGTTCGCCATCCAACTACATATGCAATGGTAGCTTTCGGACCTAATTCCCTGCAAAATGCAAATGTGAGAATGGCATCTCGTGACAATGCTTTCAGTTCAACTTTCTTTGCATAGTACTTGGTGCACAAGTCGCAATAACTATAACGAGGAAGAAAACACCGTGGGCTACAGATCAAATGCAAGTTTTCCGCGTCGTTCTACACGAACACGATGTGGCCTACGTCTTCGTCTCGTTTCTCACATCAATCACCTTCAAGCTCTCTACCTGGTTTCTCCAATGACGCCCCGAACTTCGTCACCAATAGCCAACGTCCTGCCACCTTGTTGCCTTGCTCAATCGCCATCACCATCGGTGGTTCCTTGCCGCCTGACGGCCAGAAGTTGAAGACGACCGCTCATAGGCCGTATGGGAAGCGGAGGGAACATTGTGTGAACAAAAACAATATTGTATTTTATAGCGCGCGCGACATGTTTTACCTTGCTACATTCTTCTCCCGATACACCATGTTCTGCTCTCCTAGATGGGCAGCTCTGGCTGACTTTCAGACACCACCTAAAACAGACTTCATAAAATTTTGACAATTCGGGCGATCAGAATTCAATTTTCGACAATTGTGTAGATCATACAACCCAGATGTCTGTTAAGTTATATATACACACACCCCGTTACTCCGGGGCCGACATGCAAAATGCACTGGCCAACTCGCAGAACACGCATCTTCACACTCAAGTACATTGATGACAGGAAACTTGGGCAGAAATTATCTGGTTCTGCACTAGACAGCAGCCATAAAGAAATCCTTGGGGAACCTATCGAAATAAGCGATCTGCGGCCCGCTGCCGCAGCCAGCCACTCCATAGATAGATATAATTATGGCTGCGGTGGTTCATGCTGTGGTGTGGCTGGGGAGTCCGGTGCGATGGTGAAGTGCACTCCCCTTCCTTGCCCCGACTGCAGGATGAATGCCACCTCCGTTGCAGCAAAGCAGCTGCCTCCTGGACAGACACAATAGGCAATTAGGGATTTACAGAAGGCCCTAGAGCTGCACTGGATGCAGCAAATAGCCAAATTAACAAGGAAGCACAAAAGGCGATGCAGATTTTCATTCTAAAACTGAATTTTCATCAAATCAGTTTACCAATTTTTTGGTCGCACAGGTCACAACTAACCGTCAGTTTCAATTTCAACCATGTTTAGTCAATTATAATCAGTACTCCCTCCGTTCCAAATTATAAGTCGCTTTGACTTTTTTTTTATACATCCATTTTACTATGCATCTAGATATAATAATATGTCTAGATACATAACAAAATAGATGACCAAAAAGTCAAAGCGACTTATAATTTAGAACAGAGGGAGTAGTAAAGACTGATTTAGTTGCATAGCTTAGTTCCTGATCTTGATTTTCATGATGTGCATGACAAGTCAAATTCAAACAACTAGTAAAGTACTCCTCTATTCCAAATTATAAGACGTTTTGGCTTTTCTAGATACATATTTTTTGCTATGTATTTAGATATACACTATGTCTAGATGCATAATAAAAGCAATGTATTTGGAATGGAGGGGGTATTAAATGTCAACTCAATTTCAATGCATTTGGAGTATGGCAAGGAATATGTTAGGTGTTCCCAAAACCTTCTAAAAAATAAGAAAAGGAAGATGCAGATATTCACTTTAGAAATTGTAACTGACCTGTCTCTGCCTGCGGCGCTGTAAGATACTAATTGCCCAAGCCATAATGTAGAATGGTAGCAGGAAACCAGCAGCACGCAATAGAAAAAGCTATCAATTGCAAACCATCAAAATACCAAATGTTAATATATGATGTGAACAGTATATATTTTCAAGATGATTATTTCACTTACTGAAAACATTGCTGAAGTGTCGTCATCATCTTCATCAGTTAGAGTCAGTGCGTGTCTCAACAATAAGAGAGCCATTAACTGAACATAAAAAAAGGGTAAATTGGATGTTACATATAAATAAGAAAACCCTGTTGTTTTAAGTGGCAACAATATAAATACATCTGTTTTGTAGTTACTCACAACAAGAGCAGCAGAGCGGCAAAAGGCAGCAGTGCTGGCATTTGTGGCAGAATAATCATCATATTCAGCTTCCATGATGTGGTTTTGTGACACTGCAAGTATCCTAGGATCACGCAAGTCAAATGCAGTACCAGTAATAGTCCACCCACCACTAGGAACCACGGAGAAATGAGAGGTGATGACAAACAGTTAGAAGAAAATTTATTACATAAGTATAGAACAACTTAAGAATAAAAAGGGCATTATGCCCTACCTTATATCAATGGTAGTTTCATCAGGATGAGCTCTCGGAGGTGCAGTGTACCCATGTTCATAAGGCTGCAGATAGTATTTTTCAACACAATTTAGTATTAAATGGCATCCATGAAAATGGCATAACAATTAGTTGTTCATAACTTAAATCACCTCATGACATATTTCACATGTTACATCTCCTTTCTCATTGCACCATCGTTGTACACATGCCCGATGAGCATACTGCATAGCAAAAACTAAAAGCAAGTTAGAGGATACAGAAAACGCTCTTAAAAGTAATCGCATAAAAAAATCATAGTACATCTATTTAACATATTATTGTCTGACAAATCAGGAAAGCGTGACAAAAACAACCAACTCAAAGTTTAAACCTATTCAGCTAGATGTAAGAAAAGGTACGGCCAAAATTATTGGGAGGCGGTTCACAGATCGAATTATCCTGGTAACTTCAAATCCAGTCTATCCCACATACTTGTTACAAAATCACAGTTGTCATATCATAAAATTAGCTTTATCCAACCAAGTACTGCCCACAACTCGAGATAAGGTACTATGATAATAGGGAAATTATATTTAAGTTTTATACCAAAATGTTTGGGTATTTTTAGGCTGTCTTAAATTAAAATGCTAATAACATATTTTAAAGTTGACCCTGTCTTCCATAACAAGCAGTTTTTTATTCCATGGCTAGTGGGTTCATGCAAAGTGCAATATTAGCAAATTGCTGGATGAAAGATTGTGATATCTTGATGCGTTGAAATGGCACACATTTCACTCCGGAACGGGCAACTATTATCTTCAGTTGATAAAATTATGAAATTGTACATATAATGTTGAACTCATTTTGTGCTGATACTGAAAGCGGTATAGGAGAAAAAGGACTTACATAGCTAGGAAAAAAGGGATGGTAAGGACATGTACAACAATGTTGTGACTAGTGTTCGAACAAGTGAGACATGGAGACACGGATGACTTCCCGATTAGGATAGAGGATAGGACTACATCGGTCCCATGCGGCGACGTGGGGGCAACCTGTCTAGGGTTTCCCCTGTAACACCCTAGGTGTTAAGCATGCATTTAGCCTTAGCATTGCATGAGCACAAGCATCATTGATCATTCATGAGCATGAGTATTTCAAATATTATCTCTATGTTTGCTTATATTGCATGTGTTATCACTAAAATGCTTTACATATGCTAGGGTTTACATGTAACCAATGTATAAAATGTTTGTGGAACCCTAGGAGTATCTTAAACATGTTTAGAATATCACATGGAACAACTTTGGTATTCATGACTAAGGCTAGTTTGGTCTCTAAGTCATAGCTATAGTGTAAATTATCATTTTCAAGTTGTATGTTTGATCTAAGTTGAACTATAGCCTAGAGTGTTTGCATGGCAGTGCAACCTTAAGCAAAGTTGTAGTACTTGTTTAGTGTAACAACTTTTATTTTTGGGTCATAGGCTAGTTCAGCTCCTAACATGCTTGAAATTGGATCACAAAAAAGCAATGCAGTGCTGTTTTTCAAACTTGGAAAATTTTCTAAGTAAAAATGGGTTTTACAGTTTCATGTGCTGTACTTTGACGCATTGCAATTTGCAAACCAGCTCGAGTTAGACCTAGATCACTTAAGCAAAGTTGGAGCTGGTATGTAGCTCTACAACTTTTATTAAACCAGTTTTTGCTAACTCGCTTTGGTTTAGGAGATTGGAAGGGTTTATTTGGTGTTGTCAGTCATGCGATCGGTGCTCGATGTCATATCATAAAAGGTCATGTACGTCGTGGTACTATGACCGAGGAAAGATATTTAAGTTTTATACCAAAATGTTTGGGTATTTTTAGGCTGTCTTAAATTAAAATGCTAATAACATATTTTAAAGTTGACCCTGGCCCTCGTCCATGGCTAGTGGGTGGTGGCAATATTGGCAAATTGCGATATCGATATCTTGAGAGGCACACATTTCACTCCGCTGCCCATTTCACTCACTCCATTGCATATAATGCTCTCATTCTCTCCATCGCTCTCCCATGCTGTGGCGACGGGGGCAACCAAGACACCCTAGGTGTTAAGCATGTATTTAGCATTGCATGAGAACAAGCATCATTGATCATTCATGAGCATTTCACCATTGCATGTGTTATCACTAAAATGCTTTACATATGCTAGGGTTTACATGTAACCAATGTATAAAATGTTTGTGGAACCTAGGAGTATCTTAAACATGTTTAGAATATCACATGGAACAACTTTGGTATTCATGACTAAGGTTAGTTTGGTCTCTAAGTCATAGCTATAGTGTAAATCATCATTTTCAAGTTGTTTGTAAATCATCATTTTGGCGTCTCAGAGCCCTCGCCACCGCGCACCATTGCCGTCTCCATCTATCCAAAGCAAGTTGCCGCGTTTTCCTCTCTACCTCCTCGACTAAGATGCATTGTGGGTGTGCAAGCCACGGTGAGGGCGTAAAATCGCCGTTCTTGCCTCTCGCAATGCAATCTCGGCTTCCATGGCGTTTTATTCACGGCAAGCTTCGCCTCGAGTTGACCTAGATCACCTCCCAAAGTTGGCGTATGTAGCTCCTTCTTGGCGTTAGAGCTTGGTTAGGTGTGTCCTAGCTTGTAGCGTGACCTCTCGGGCCCCGTCGTGGAATCGTTAACGCCATTTCACTCACTCATCGCGCCTCTTCTCTCATGCAGCAAGACGGTCCTCGTCAAGACGGCTCCGTGTCCCACCTAACCAAAGTAGTCTCAGTGAGTTCGTGTAGTCCATGAGCCCGTGGCGCTTCGCACGGCCTTGCCGTAGAGCTTGGTTAAGAAACGGCGGCAACGACGCACTTAGCCCGCCGCCGCGCCGCGCCGCATGGCCATGGCGCGATTTAGCTTAGCATCTTTTCGGTGCGTCTGCTCGCGCTGCCACCACCGGTACCGGTCGTGACGGCGGGTGAGTAGAACACGAGGTGGGGGTTGGTTTCACGGAAGCTCGCATTGTCGGCGAGATAGCGCCGGTCAACCACCGTGCCCTATTTCGGTTCACTGACTTGTGGGGTCCGCTGACCCGTGGGAACCATGCGTCAGCGAGTACAATTTAGGGTTTTGTTATTTATTTTTCAGATTTTTGTGTTAACTTTGGAAAATCATATCTAGAACTAGGAGTGTCCAATTTTGGTGAACCAAATTTTGTTGGATTCCTCATGAAGTGTAGTATTTTATAAAAATATGAAATGTACTGTTTATGGTATTTTTAAAGGTGAATAAAATGTAGCTAGATAAGTGCTTTTTGAATGTTTGCAATCTTGTAAAATGTGTAACTTGAGCTAGGAATGTGATAAAATTGTGATGCCAATTTTGCTGGGCTTGTGTTGACATGCTCTAGCTAGGAAAAATAATAAACTTGCAGTAAACTTGATTGAAGTAGGGTCTTTTTATTTATCTATTAATAAATGGTGTTTTCTGAGGAAAATTATAGGGATAAAAATAAGTAACATATTGCCATGCAAATTTTTGTACAGTATTATGGCACTAGGATGAAACTAAGAAAAATATAGAATTGTTTTCTCGACACTTTTCTATAGGGTTAACTATTTTTACTAAAATAAACCTTGCTAGCTTGTCATTTTTGTAGATGATGTTATACATGTTCAAATGGTATGAAATTTTTATAGTAGTCTATTGGGAGCACTTGGAAGCTACTGTAATTTTATGAGAATTTATTATGCACATTTGGTATATGTTTATTATTTCACCTAATTATCTAATTAAATTAATAAAGACATTTAAATAAATAAATTGTGCTTGACCATGATATTTTCTATGGTGCTTGTGATATATATGAACTGTTGATGTTAGTAGTAAGGCTTAAAAGCAATTGGTTGTATGCAACTAATTAATTATTGCTTTATAATTCAACTAGATGGTTGCATGTATAGTTTTGGTTGAGTTGATAATTTCATGGTGATAATGGTTTTTCTATAAAACTTGTTAATAACAAAGTTGTAGATAACTTACTGATCTACCTTGTGTTAAATTTTCATAGTCATAGGTCTTAGGGTTTAAGAGTTTTGGCTGTTAGAAGTTTGCTGTCCGAAATGCTTGCTCTCTAGACATATTTGAATAACTGAATTGTTTGACCTAGATAACTGTTGAATCACATCAACGGTATTAAAAGAAAGTTGTAGGCAATTTTATAAGCTTTCCAGAATGTCCTCAACCATATTATTTTTATGTATATAACTCCAGTTATGGTTAAAACAAATAGTTGTTGTCTTGTAGTCCAGAAAATAAATTACAGAAATGTTTGCTTAAGTAATAGAGAAGAGATATACACCTACTCGGTAGAATAGGATGCGCTTGTTATTACTTTAATACAATGCGGTTGAAAATACTTATGGGGATGCATTCATCATGATTATATCATATTATACGTGTCATCGTATATGCATTCGTGGTATCTTATTTCACACTCATGCACATAGGATCGTCCGAAGAGATAACGCTGTTGGAGTTCAACGAAGAAGAGGAAGAGAGCCAGCAGGAGACTCCTCAAGCCGCAGCTCCAGGAGAAGAGGAGCAGACTCCCGAAGAGCTCCCTGAGTGCCCGGATCATCGATCCACCTCTTTCCTCAAAGGCAAGCCCCAGAGCATTCTAAGTCTCCCATATTTTACAAAAATACTACTTGAGTTCTTTATGTTTGATGCATTAGGTTATAAGAGTTGATTGGAAACACTTGATGCATGGAACTACCTTGTCTAGTTACATATATCTTTAACCCTATGTAGGTCCAGGATCGAATATATGCTTAGCCATGCTTAGACCGGTAGAAGTCGGGTGATTTCCTGTCACTTGCGAGATATAGGTGGATATCGAAGCACGGTTGGCTATATTTGCTATCGTGGAAAATAACCATGAGGTAATATAAATGGAGGCTGGGCGGAGTCTATGAGTAGGTTGACTCATGTGAGTCCGTCTGTGCCGATTAAGGACCGTACCGTTGTTGGCACTTCTGAGAAGATTGAACGCATGCCTATCACTTAGCTGGCCGGATAACTCGTTCCGACCGCGAAGCCGAGTAGCTCAACTCAGGCCGAGCCCGCTCTGTCAGAGTGCGCTCTGGATGGTAGTAAGGATGTGCGGGGAGCCAGACGTGAGCCCAAGGGCAGGCCGGGCCTGAACGTCCTAGCAGCTGGTCCCTGATTGTGCGGCACTGGGCGAACCCGCGAAATATGGACTTAAGTTGTACCAAAGGTGACCTGAGGTGACCGTTGATCTGGTTTGCCTAGGTTTGTGTTATGAATAAATTCTCAGCTGGTTGAAATCGATTTGAATCGCCGTTTCTCCCGGATAGTGAGAAACTTGGCTAGCTCCAACATCGTAGTAATTGTATTATGGAATGTGATGGTTCGAATAAACATGGAATTACTACACCAGCTATAGTTACTATTGTATGCTATCAAATGATATACCACATGTTTGGCACATGATAGTTGCTAATCTAGAGATGAATAGCTATAATTAACTTGATGACCAAAGTATAATTGTATAACTGAGTTAATCGCTTTTATGCAAAAAGTTGTCAAGCTACCTCCACTTATAAAGCCTTGCATAATCCTTGGAGTCAATTTATTTCTGGTTTATGACGGGTAAGTCTAGTCGAGTACATTCTCGTACTCAGGGTTTTATTTCTATTGTTGCAGATGGTACAATCTATCACGGCTATTGCAAGAACTGTTTTTGTCCCGCCGTGGATGATGAGTGAGCCCTGGGCAGGCATCCTTAATAATCCTTATATGCTTTTGTGGATTGTGATCATGAGTTGGCACTGTATTTGAACTATGTTGGCAAATGCTAGTTTCGAACTTTAATTTGCTTCTGCTACTATCTACCGAACTTGGTTTGTAATAACCTTATTTCGTACTCTGATGAATGAACTGTATCTATGAACTTTATGTAACATGTGACATGTATGTTGAATCATGTACGATCTTGGTTGTATGTGGATCATTAATCGAGATCTATCGTGGTACTCGACGGACTACCGGTTTTATATGGGCTCAAGTATGGCAGTGACCCTGCGTGCGGGCTGCCATTGTACTTGTGCTCTTATAAATTGATCGGTTCTGCGACATCCCTCACCACCGCCGCCGACATCGCAGCTCGCAATTGATCCACCAGCGAAACCTCCTCCACGCCTCTCCCCTTTCACTTCACACAGTCCTCCACCAATTCCATCTCCCATGCCCCTGCATCTCCTCTGGTCGCCACTCCCCAACCAACTTAATCAGATGCCGCTGGTGCTCGAGAGATCACCACTGGTCGCCTCCCTCTCCATCACCGTGGGGACAAGCTGCCGCTCCCCCTCGTCAGTAACCACCAAGACGGTCATATACCTCTCCACCGCTGTCGGTATTGGCAGCGCACCTCCACCATCAATCGATGCCCACACCATCCATGAAGATGAGGGTGTGTGCAGGGAGGTGAGGTGGTCACTGGACTCCACGCTGCTGGTCACCACCCTCTCCACCACCACGGGGACAACTCCCCCATCGGTTGTCAGCTCGCTGGTCACCTCCCACTCCACCGCTGCGGCAACCTAGTATCATACCTCCCGCATCGGTTGTCGCCCTCAGCACCAATTCCTGTGAGAGTGTGCAGGGAGGTGAGGTGGCCTCCTCGAGGAATAGGCTATCACATTCTAGTTCAGCGCCATCACTATCTCTTCCTCGCTGATCATCGCATCAACAAGTGTATCCTCTAGCATTGCGCTTCTCCATTGCCACCAAAATCTCAGCATCAAGGTGCACGCTTGGTGCCTACTGATCTGATTGGTCGATGCTTCATGCTGCGAACTACAAGAATGCATCTCACTGCTTCCACTGTAAGCAGGAAGGTCACGAAGCTAGGCATTGCAAGCAGCCTCAGTCACCTAAGAGTCCCCAAATAGGTCCTCAGTTGAGGGGCTGTCAAAAGTTGCTCCTCCCTGAGCCACCCCCATCACTTGATTCTCCATCTTCAGTTCCTTTAGATGCTGCTGCTACGCCTTCAATTCTGCCTATCCATGATGCAGCTGGCGTTTTACATGAGCTGGAATTGCCATTCCACGCTACAATAAACGGATGATAAATACTAGTTTGACCAACTCGCCCATTTATCACATGTCTATGTATCTCCCTCACAAAACAGAGATTAATGATATGGATAAAGTAAGAAGGACCTTCTTTTGGCAAGGTGGGAGTGTGAAAAAAAATACTTCCTCAGTTCCAAATTATAAGACGTTTTGGCTTTTCTAGATACAATTGTTTTTACCATGTATCTAGACAGTGTGTGTATCTAAATGCAATAATGCATGCGAAAGTTATGTATCTAGAAAAGTATGTTCTGGTACAAAGAAAGGAGGATTGGGCATTAAAGATATCAGAAAGTTAAATCTAAGTCTTCTTGCTAAATGGTGGTGGAAATTAGAACAGGAAACTGGGATCTGGCAAGACATTATCAATGCCAAATATATAAAAGGGCAGCCTATTCCTCTGATAACACACAATCAAAATAATTGTCCTGTTTGGGCTGACCTACTCAAGGTCAGATCGCTATATCTCCAGGGTAGGAAAGTAAAAAATTAGAAATGGCAAAAACAACCAGTTTTGGAAACCCTTGCTTTCAGTGAATCAATGATTCAGAGATATCTTGTTCTTTTCTGTTTATGTGAAGAGCAAGATTGATCAGTGGCGCAAGTGGCGCAAGTTAGTGAGAAGGATTTTCAGTTGAATTTTAGACGTTAGTTGCCTTGGGAACTTAGCTCTGTTTGATCCCAGATTCAATCACAGGCAGGAATTTTGTTTTACAGGAGGGAGACTATCTCCTGTATACTTGAAAAAAAAAGTGGCAAGTTCTCAGTAAAATCTTTATACAATGCTTTAAGAGCTGGTGATGTGGATTCTAAACTTTTAATCATAAGTTGATCTGGAAAGAAAGTCCCTGCTAAAATAAAAATCTTTATGTGGCTTATCAAGAACAACACAGCCTCACCAAGGACAACATGATCAAAAGAAACTGATCAGGTGACCCAAAATGTTATTTCTGTGAGCAAGATGAATATATTTCTCATTCTTCTCTAGTTCTATTGTCCCATTGCTAAGGTGGTATGGTCAGTGGTTGCTCAGGTTATTGGCACCTCTGATATTCCCTCCAATTTAACCCAATGTTGGTTATAGATTAAGAAATGGTTACCCCATGGGGCTATGTTCTACACTTTTGGTATTGCTGCCATATGTTGGTCTATCTGGAAAACTAGGAATAAAGCTTGCTTTGAGAACAAATTGATCAAGAACCCGTTGAAAATAATATGTTATGCCTGTGATCTAATGAATTACCGGACAGGTTTATACCCAACAAAGACTAGGGAGAAGCTTGTTTGAAGGCATTAACACCATGCTTCAGGTGGCGACAAAGTTACTTGCTGACTCCAAGAACAGAGGACAACTCCAGCTTGAGGACGACAAGAGCCAGGATGAAGAGGAAGATAATGCTTGAAGTCGAGCTGTGATATGAGGATTTTTTGTGGTAGTGGCTGATGTGCCTGGAGTTGACCTTATGTCTTTTGAATCATGGTCTATGATCTGTGTAATAGCAAGTTTATTAGCCTTAAATTGTTTGTTGCTTGGCTTTCCTTTCTATGTCGGGGTCGAAGGTCTGAAGCAGACTTTTCAATCCCACTTCATAGGATTGAAACTCATGTCTATCTAAACTATCTTTGCTTGCATCTGTATCCATACTGTTGTATTTCTGTTGATACAATGGAAATGGGTTATCCTCGGTTCAAAAAAAAATGGAGTGCAAGGATGTTCTATCACAGGCTTGGGTCGCCATCACTGCTGGTTCTTGCCCATCGTTGTCGCCGGCACAGGTGCGCTGAATTGTCATCCAATGTGATGAGGCTCCAACATGTGTGACCACTGACCACCTCGGTGCTGGATTCATGGTCTCACCTTGAATCCATTGATGATTGGGGCTTGAATTCAATGGTTGAGTTTCACATCACAAATGGGTGGGATTCAATGATCCTGGAAGCATCTATATGTAGCACCTTTGTTGGTAGCCCAGGATCGTGGCTGTGACACCACATCCGTTGGGATCTGAATCCCATCACGGTTTGAGTATTGTCGTTTTCGTGTGTTGCCTTGCGGGCATCTTTTAGTGGTTGCTTTGGTCATGTAAGGTTGTTGTCATGATCGTAAGGTTGTGTAAGGTTGTTGTTTCGGTCGTTGTGGTCGTGTGAGGTGGTTGTACTTGGCAATTTTGGCCATTCTTCTCTCTTAATGCAATGACATGCAGGTCTTCTGCATGTTCAGAAAAAAAAAGATACACTGCTGACAAAATATCTTGATCTAATCTCATGTCCATTAGTCCCTAGATATTGCCTGTGATATGTTTTGATTCTTGGTACAGCATCTACTATATAAGAATAGTATTCAATCTAATTTGTTGAATATGGGACCTAATCAATAGACAATAATTGTCAATATTGAGCAGCACTGCCATGTCTTAAATGCTCAATGCACAAAATGAATTGAGGGAAAGAGAATATGCCAAGCAAGGTATATAAGAGTATAACACCACAAGATTCCCATCCACAACTTACTAATGTCGAACAGAAGTGTACCATTGAGGATTTGTGGACATAATGTACAGTATAGCTGAGCAACTAATCAGGTATAGCCCTGAGTTAGGGGGAGACTAATGCAGTAATTCTGTAAGCAATAGAGTGTTGTATGGGCATATATAGGACAGAAGGAGAAACACTTGACACTTTAGATAATAATTAGATATGGAGTATAATGATCTATCCACAATATCTGAATAAGACAAATGGAGTAACACGAACCTTTAGACTGCCAGTGCAAGCACATGGACTCTCTAGATTTTTAATACTATCTTCCTCCTGACAAATGCGACACTCCACCACCTGCAGAAGAGGTTCCTCTTCAGAAACCATGCTTTCTCCCACTGCTAAAATGGCATGAGCCATGGAGGGTGGATGTGCAATGGTTTCCCCAGATGATTTATTCTTGATGACTGCCCCAGTGACCGCATTTGGCTCAGGAATGCTTAGGTCATCAATATTGAGCATTAGATGTTCCTTCATTGTTGCAAATAACTAATAAACCTTCCAGCAAAAGAATTCTTGTAGAAATGCTAGATCAGCAGAGAGTTCATAATCTAGTAGCTAGACCAGGTTTAGCATCCCGCTGAAAAAAAAGGACAGGTCAGCTGATGACATTATTAATTAGAAAGACATATACACCCTGCTTGGCACAGTCCAGCTCCGAGGTCCACCTTAAATCTGGAGTTTGTACTAGAATCAAGAACCTTGAGACTCTATTTTTTTGTCTAGAATAGAAAGAAAACCATTCAGGTGTGCGTGTACCCATAGCTCCAGATTCACAAATTTCTGGAGCTAGGAATACCCAACTCCATGAAATCTTGGAGCTGGAAAACTGCCAAACAGGGTCATAAAATAACTGAAGCAGCAGAAGAAATTTGCCTAACCTTGTGAAACGAGGCACCAGAATCCTTGGTGAAAGAGGAAAGAGGCACCAATACTAGCTCCACGTTTCTGCCCAATAAATTATTTATCATTACAAAACAACTTCACAATTTTTTTCTTCAACGTTGAAGGCATTTGAAAACTAACATCCTAGATGAGACAAGTCCAATGGATATGAATAAATAATTTGTTCTGCAAACAGTAATGTTCCTCCCAATTCCCATGAAACTACTTCAATCTGGACATTTCAAGCAATAAGTTTGTTTCCTCAGAGAATATAAATCTAGCATTCTGAGGTGCCCCAATTTCATCCACAATGATAATCAACAGAAGGAACACATACCTTCAATACAAAATTTTATCCAAAATGCACATTCGTAAATTTGATCATTTGCCTGTCCTAATCTCGGCACGATTAAATTCCCACCACAAGCTACAAACAGGGAAAACTAAATAATACTAGAAGTGCAAAGCAAGCAACATGGCTGCCTCTAAATCGAAGTTAGCAGGCACAATACACGTACTTGGGGTCAGATCCGAAACCAAAAGCTTAGGTTAAGGTTGGGGGTGCTCCGTTTCGCACAGCGGAATGGAATCGAAGGGGCGGGCATACCTGGTGGGTGCTCGTCGCCGGCGAAGGGCCCGACGAAGACCTGGTGAAGGGCGGCGCCGCTCGCCCAGTTGTGGCCGCCAGGAAAGGAAGGCCACGAGACAGACGGGGGCGTGAATGGCAGAAGGTAAAAGGAGGGGCGAACGCAACAGGCGGCGACGCGCTCGGAAAGTCGGGAGCTTATGGGTTTTTTTTTTTTTTGAAGATTCTATTTTTATTTCATTGTATTTTTAAAAAATATGATAGTTTTTTTATTTATGCCTCTAAATTATTATAATATCTATATCTATATCTATATCTTGTTGAATTATCTAGAAAACAACAAATGGAATTATCTTTGACAACAAAGTATGCAACCTTAGAAAATGGAAGTGTATCTTCGAGAAAGAACTTGGATTGACTAGTATTATCTTTGACAACCAAGACTTATGGTGATAACCTTAGAAAATAGAATTTGGAGGAATTTGGATGAAAGAGAATTTGTGAGAGAAAAATGTATTAGGGATGAAAAAAGAAGAGATCAAAGCCGGGTTTAAAAAGACTTATGGTGGTCAATGGGGTTAGTGACCGCAACAACAATAGAAGTATAGAATGATTCATCAGTTATATTACAAGTTACTCCTATGTTGGCTATTTCAATAAGCTCTCTCCTTTGAGCAACGAGGAGTGACATTCCTTCAATTTCTCATGAGTTCCAATTAGAGCCTCATGAGTAGCCAAATACTCATCAAGGATTTGTTCAAGAGCTTTGTGCCTTTTGCGCAACTACTTTAATTCTTCCCTCTTCTTATTCACGGGAGAATGGGCCCCTTGCTATACCTATATGAGTCCCTTCTTAGAGGGCTCCTCATCCTCACTATCACTCCTATTATCGCTTTCATCATATTGTGCCTTTGGACCCTTGGCCATGAAGTATTAATGGTGATGCCGGCAAGTGACATGGTTACGGTAGGACTCTGAGTTGTATTTGATGGTACAGGGTAAAGTTGGAATAGGACTCTATAACTTGGCCTCCTCATAAATATGAGAGGAGGGTTGATGTAACCATGACGACATAGCGGCAGATTCGTGGGAGGGCGGCAACATTTTTGCCGAGACCCTAGAGCGGCCATTGTTACTGGTATTGGGAGGAGCGTCCGTAATCATCCGTAGAGATGTAGGCTTTGTCTGAACCTCGTTAACAAATAACATGTCTCCGGTGTCGTCTATGATCTTGTATATTCATTTCGGTAGATTCAATTGACACTTTCACGCATGAAGATTAGCAGTCAGCTAGTCGTTGTGAGGGCTAATTTCCAACATGCAAGACTGTGAAGGCTCTTGGAAGCACCCGTGAAGGCCCACCGCGAAGGTCTCGAAAGACCAATGTCTCAAGGAGCGTTGTGAAGCCTTGGGAGGAACCTTCGAGGGATCATCCACGAAGGCTATGGTGAGAACCTTTAGGCTACTGTCGCAAAGGTTTCAGGAAGCTTTAAGCAAGATGATTCTGGGAGAGCCCCCACGTCCCCAGCTAAAAGAAGATGACCCAAGAAGCTCAACGGCCCAACTTGGGCTGTCGGGGAGCCCATTAGACATGGTGGTTTGAAGGGGGAATGCCCCCTTATGCCCTTGTGGCTGCAACTATAAAAGCCCTAGGAATATTCTTGCATGAATATAGAGGCCAAAAAGGCGTTTTTACTAGAAAATATGTGTAATCATACCCTATAAAAAGATAATTGGAATCTCAAAAAAGATTTCATTGGTGAAACACTAAGTTCTATCTATATATCGTGTTACCTTTGAACAATTGAAATTCGGGTCATGAGAAGAATGAACAATATAGGATTTACATACTTGTAAGCTATGATCCACTAATACTAACAAACAAACATAGCCACGAGATGACAGGAGAGTTTCGTGTGTCCATACGACCTTGACGACATGGCGCTGTCGTCAGAGTCTTGATGAGGAATGGGGGCTCGGTTCACCGTAGTTTGGGCGGAATGTTGTCCTGCATGTTGTCAGAATATTCTAGCATATTCTATAGTAGGTAAAGAGCGTTTTTACTAGAAAATATGTGTAATTATACCCTTTAAAAATAGCTGGGATCCCAAAAATGGTCCTAGTAAACAAGAATTTCCTAGATCATAGGTAATTTTGGAGATGGGCTCTACCAAAAAGTACAAGCTATTTGGGTAAAATACAAATGTCCAACATGAGGGTACCTGTTTACAAAAATTTGCCTGATATAATTCCTTTTAAGCTCAATCTTTTAAAGAAACTTACACATATCATGGTGTAATCACACGGCCATTTTAGTTAGTCGTGTTGTAACAATAATTAACCACACGAAACATCACGTTTAATTTGTTTGTTCTTCGTGACATGATGAATAGGTAGGCGGAATTTTTTTTTTTTTGTAGTATAGTTAGGACAAGAAACATTGCAACGCTGTTGGGCAAGTGGTATTAGTGGAGCATCATGCCTTCGGCCAAGAGCACGACATCCATCAAAGTAATCCCCGTTCATCTCCAGCCCGGTGGCTTTGGTGGTTGTTGGGCTCTACCAAAAGTAATCCTATGTCTCAAAAAAGGCCATGTCCATGTGCGGTGACCATGGATTCATCATTAATCTGATAAACTTCCTCCATTTTCATCTTTGAAAGAGATGATGCATAAAATTGTAATCAACGTACGTGTTAGTTTAAAGTAAAGTAATTAAAGTTGAAACATCCTAATTAAAAGAATTGGATCCACATGAAATAGATATTCTTTTTTTTTTTGTATGGCTAGGATTTTCACATTGGAATCCTATATAAACTCTAGAAGAATTTTACATGAACTTCGGCCAAAATCGACATCCATCAGACTTGATCCCTGTTCATTCCAGCCCGGTGGCTTTTGTGGTGGTTGTTGGGCTCTGGGGAGAGTAATCCTGTTTCTCGAAGGCCATCCTCGCGGTGACCATGGATTTCATCCTCTGGCACAAACTTTTCCATTTTCATCTGAAAGAAATGATGGAATAAAAATTCTTCAATAGTTGTTTCAAAGTAAAATAAAGTTAAAACATATAATTTATAGAATTGGATCCAAAAAGCAGATAGCTTTTTATGGCTTTATTTTCACAGTAGGGAATCCTATATAAACTCTAGAAGAATTTTACATGAAATGCCAAATCTCAACATTCATGAGACTTGTGCTTTTATTTCTTCTAAAACGTAAAGATGCAGTAGCCGGCGAAGATGGGTCAAGATGGTAGCATTTGCTTGGAAAAGGCAAGTAGTGGTACCTTTGGCTCTAGAGTGATGCTTTCAACCGATGGTATCTGACCACCATCCTCTTGCATGGTCATCCTTTGCACTCCTACAAGCCACAGCAACAAATGGTCAGATCACTGATGATCACATGCCGTCACAGGAAAGCTAAGACACAAAAGAAAAAAAAAATCAAGCAGAGGCAAACTGAGAGATATGAACTCACTTGAGAGAGGTACAGCACTGGAGGGAACCAAGAAATAGAATGCCAACAAGGTGGTCAGAATACACAGCCGGTGCCCTCTCCATTGCACGGGCCGGTCTAGTCGACAGTGCAGTATTCGTCTCTCAAGCTCTCAATGGAATTTCTTCGGTTGCCCTCATGTGCCTTGCACTCTGCTTGGCAAATGGCAATGCCCTGGATCCCCTTTTTATATATGGCACATGTCATGCAACCTAGATCATTCGTTTAGGGACCAAAGTCAAAAAGGCAATGGAATTCACAAAAAGTCTAATCGATGTTCAGTGGAATTGAACACTGGCCAACTTTTTTTTTTCTGACTTTCTCCCCTTCCACTAGTAGGCGTTGAAGTGCTCCTATTAGTCCATATCTCATCTTTCTAGGCATGCAGTTATCATGATGCTTTGTTGAGTGAGGAGAGCCCGTGCCCTTCTTCTATTAAAAGAAGGCTAGTGAGACTAATTAAGACGGTACTCCATCCATTTCAAAATATAAAGAGGTATGACTTGGCATAG